CCCCAAAACCCCAAAACCCCTCAATTCAAAATTTTTACATAAAAGGATTTCTATAATAATGAGAAATAGTAGAATGAATCAATCATCACTTAAGATAATGTCTCTGAGACCGACTGTTACCTTTTTTGCCTTTACATCTCTTTTAACATCATTTTCTGATCTTTTCTTAAACTGTTTCTTTTACAGGATCTTTTTATTTTTGGGCACAACCTGCGGAACAAAACTAAGTTTAATTTTTGGCGGTTCATCTTTATTATTGTCAACATGATTATTATCATTAATTTAGTAAGCCTAACCCTTCTCTCCATCACCGTCGATCATAAAACGATTGTAATCAGAGGAAGATGGGAATTAATCTTTGTTTTTCTAGCCTGTTGACACTGACTCATTGTCATTAAAAGTAAAATTCTTTTTAGAGATGAGTCCATGAATAATTTTCTTATCAATCAGAGATAACTCATTTGCTTTAGTAAATTAAGTTAATATATTTTCTAGTCTTTTTTATAAATGGTTAGCTTAATTCCGTTTTACGTAACCATCTGAGAATTTTCTCAAAATAATTGATTAAGTTTTATTTTCTTCCTCTGAGGATGAATCAGCTTCTTGAATCAAATGTTTCTTCTGGTACTGAAGTAAATAACTCTAGTCCTTGTTCAAAAACAAGGAAAGTAACAGGTCCAATTTTCTAAGTTTGTTCATTAGATTTATGGCGTCTAGTTCTCGGACTATCTTGTTCACTCCTTTGTTATACAAATGAATTTTTCTTCTGGATATCTCTGTATCAACCTTCTTCGGCTTTCCTTTACAACAGATGTACAATCTTTGGAAAGTAAAGTTGAAAATATCTTGAGCTGTTATACTGAGTCTCCATCTATATCCCAGATAGTCAATCAATTTTCGAATGTGGACTTTCCCAAGGGACCATTTTGAATTTTTTAGGTCTTCCATTAGAGTTGATGAAAAATGTTTACTTGTAGTCGTATTCAATCGTCTAACAGATGCTTTTGGATCAAATATTTTACCTGAGGTACTTTCCAGATCGACACTATTATCCTAATCACTATCTCTTCGTTTAACTTTTTTGACTTGCTCTATTTAATACAACTTGCTTATCAAGGAAGAGAAAAATATGGAGTTTTGAAATTTCCCAAAGACAAACAACCCAATGAAGAACAAAGAGTTATAAAATCCTCCAATATCCTAGAGCAAAGAACTAAAAGAATAAACCTGTCTCTCGTAAATATCGTATTCTTTATCTAATCTGATATCTTAATAAAAATGAACTCCATGTCCAAAACCTCCTGTATCAGATGATGTAAAGTACCTAGTGTGAGACATTTGATAAAAATACTCTTCCTAGACATCATCAAATATGCCAACAAGACTATCACTTAACTTGAGTATATCTTTCTTAAAATACATGGAGTTGTAAGTTGTTCTATTGTATTCAATAGCGAGATAAGTATCATCAAGAAAGTATTTAACTGGATTCTCGTAATTTGCAATGTCGAAATATGAGCTGATAATAATTTCCTAAATCCATTTGCCATCAATCCATTTTGAAAATTAGTCGTCACTTGCACAATTAGGACCTTTACATCTTTCAAATAGCAAGGTTAAGCATTTATAAACAGGAGAATACCAATTTCCTTATAAAGTCAAATTCTGCCAATCAGGACAAAAATAATTTTAAAGTCCATATTATTTAACTTCTTCAGCATTTGGGTAGAAAAAGTTTTTCCCAACAATACATTTAGAAAATGGAATATAATAATCAATGAATTCACGGTAGTTCGTTCCATCTGTCTCGTTTTTTCTAATGTATATTTCGCTTTACCTAAGAATGAATTTTCCGTAAAATGGATCATTAAATGTATTTTCTGCAAAGAAATCAGACAACATGAAGGCAATTGTAATGTTTTTCTCTGATAATACCTCTGGAGGGGCATATGAATTAGAAATACTAACTAGAGTGTTTTTCTTTACTGATGTCTATTTCTTCAATATCATATCGTTTACTTTATAGGCTGAAACACTTAACAGAGATAAAATAACAATCAGCGAAACAATTCCACCGAACGTTGATTTGAATGATTCCTTTCCTTGATAAGTTAATTAAATCGGCTTTGCGTATATATCCATAGGCCTAAGGGCCCTCTTACAGATTCCTTTTCTTTTGACTCTTTTAGGTTGATCCATTCTAATATGAATAAGGATATTGCAATTTTTAAACTATTATTTAAATTTATTTTACCTTGAAGTACTCTTCCCCCTTGCTTTAATTATTTAAATAACTAATTTAAGTCGATAGTTAGCAGTAGGGGTTTTGGGGTTTTGGGGTTTTGGGGTT